ATGTACAGAACTAAATTTACTTTCATTTTTGACACTGAATGAATCTTTGAATGCGTTGGATAAGCAAAATTTCAAAGCATTCACTGGGTTCATTTTTATGAAGTTTCTCAGATCTATATTAATCATAAGGAAGACAGGAGACCAAAACGCAAATATTAAAAAGAAAACTACTGCTCCCTTAAAGAAGGCAGCAATATAGCAACAAGGAATCACAAATAGAGCAGTTTACCATGTCTTCTGGTTCAGGAATACTGATGCCGTGAAAAAACTGGTTGCTTTTAAAGATCGATTGATGTCTTGGAATTAGTTTTCCTGTAAAGTATAAACCATGTAACTGACAATGAATCCAGTTAAAATAACACAGTGTTTAAATGGTTAACTTTTAGGGTCCAGACATGAAAGAAATATTGAGTCTAAGTGTTTCTACGGATTTGGGAGCAATGGGGTCACTGCAAAAGCATGATTTCTCAGGTAAGGCTAATAATTCCATCCAATCCTCAAGACCAACTGTGATTTGGTCTGTATATTGTCTCTTTACACACATTATCTGTTAATCTCATTACAAACTTACAATATGTGCTATTTTTAATCTCCTCTGAACAGATAAGGAAAACCAAGACTCAGAGAGGTTTGATAACTTGTTCAAGGTTACTCAGTGTCAGACTTAGGTTTCAAACACAAGTGTGCCAAAGTTTATTGTAAACTTTAGCAATCATTTTTAGGAAATCAATCAAACAAGTGATAAATGCTTAAGGTATGGTCCCCAGTGATACTCTACCCACATTTTTTAATGCTGCAAAATTCTCCAAAATAATCTATTGGAGTCAAATGGGAACTGAGTCAAGCTACATTAATTCTCTGGCCTAGCCGTCATGAAGGAGTTCTGGTAGCACAGTGGTTACTAGTGGGACTGTGAACCTCAAGGTCAGCAGTTCAAAACTACCAGCCGTTCTGCAGGAGAGAGATGAGGCTTTCTGCTCCCGTAGAGATTTACAGCCTCAGAAACCCTGTACAGGGTCACTATGAGTTGGAACTGATTCCACAGTACTTAACAACAACATCTTAACTCAATGTAGAAAACAGATGGTGTTTATTCCATGGCTAAAGGATTTCACTTGAAAAGGCATCTAAAAACTTCCCATTGAAAGGAGTTATGGCTCGACATATTGAGAAAAGGATTGGGGTTTGGCCACAACCCAGTGCCCAGCACAACCCAGCATGTTGGAGAAGCAAAAAAGCTCTTGTTTTTATTACTATTACTTTAATAATTTAGCAACTGTGTAAGGTATAAAATACACTCCATACCTAGTGTTCTGATGATCAGATAAAGTTGGTCCACATCTGATTTTCCAGGCCAGAGAGGCTGGCCTGTCAGGAGCTCTGCAAAAACACAACCGATAGCCCACACGTCGACCGAAGAACCATACTGAGTATCTCCCACAAGAAGTTCAGGAGCTCGGTACCATCTTGTAGCAACATAATCCGTGTAGGCATCTCCTGGAACTGCAAATGCATCAGATCTGGTGAGCCAGACTACTGGCATGTGAATTAAAAGTAGGTCTTTTAGGCATGCTGCAAGAACACTCAGGAGCCAAGGCACTCCCATCAGATAATGAGGGCGCTCTTTCTCAGCAGTTACTGAGATGTGAACTCTCCTGAACTAAGTACCACCTATCTAAACCTGAACTTCTAGGAGGGAAGTGAAAATTCCTGTAGTGCAGCTTGAAGTCTAAGCCAGCTATTGTTTATGTCCACATTGCTAACAGCAGGATGCTGGACAACTGCTCAAAACTAATTTTTCTATCCAGATTGGTTACTTAAGACCCCCAATCGAATCCTTAATGCTATGAGTTACGTGCAGTGTATGGCAGGCTGATGACAGACAGCAGGGTGCAAACTCAGTGACGTGCCCTGCAGTACTGTCACTGGTATGGACTGCTTAGAGCCAAGATGCTTGCCTGCCACGTGGGTGGAATTCAATCCCACAATTCCCACATGACATAAAGGGGCAGGGGCCCAGCTTACTCTGTTGTAAAAGGCTGAAGGCAGATTGGACTTTACAAATGGCTGACCGAGGAAGAATGATCAGTAAGCCAGCCAACTTTCAGAGAGAAGGCAGTAGGCGGTTCTTCTTAGCAAAGACTTGAGGTAGCCCACATGGCTCTACCACATGGCAGCTCGGAAAACAAGAGCTGCCCTTGAAAGAACAGTTCTCATATGCTTATCCTACAGCACCACAACAGAAACCCTATATAGGGGTGCTATGTGTCATAATCTACCTGATGGCATTGGGTTTGGTTTGTTTGGATTATTATAGGAAATTTGGAAAACTGAGAAAAATGAACAAAAATAACAATCACTGATAATTCTCATAACTCACAAGTTCAGTAAGATAACTTTAAAAAAAATGTTTTATTGTGAATTATGTGATAGCTTACATGGGAGAACATTAGCTTTACATTCATCCTATCGTATATCGTTTCATTGCCATGGTTACAGTCCCCTCCATGCATCATCATCCAACCAAAGGGTATACGCTGCAAGCCTGCCTTCCAGTCGTCAGCAGATAACTTAGTTTTTGAAACATTTTTCCACCATAAAAATCATGCTCACTATAAAAAACAATCCTGGTGTGGTGCTGTGGGATAAAGCACTGAACTGCAAGGTCAGTTTGAACCACAAGGTTGGTGATTCAAGCTCACTTAGTCACTCCTTGGAAACCCTATACAGGATTGCTATGGGTCAGGACTGATTCGATGGCACTTATCAGTAACATTAAGAATATGGAGCATAGTGGCTCTGTAGGATACTCACTAGACCCAGAAAGAAGCCACACTAATGCTTTGTTGTATTATTTTCCTTCCAGTGTTTTATTAATATTACAAACACACAAATAATTGGAAGCCAGTTATTTAAGTAGTTTAAAATCCTTTTTATTTTTACTTATGCCTACATTGTGAGTCTGAGCATTTTAATGTTATTAAACTTCCTCAAAAATATGAATTTTAATGCATGCTATTAAACCAGATATATTCTTAGTCATTTCCTCATTTCTTTCCCAGTAATAAACTAATTTACAGTGAACATTAGGGATTATTACTATTAATATGTGTTATAAAAGGTTCAAAGCATACTTTTTAAAAGTTTTTGATATATAGTAACAAACTGCTCTCCCAAAGATTTGTTCCAAAATGTGTTCTCACTAACAACAATTATGAGAATTTTCATGCGAAATGAATTTTCAAGATGGCCCATCTTCAGGACTAAGGGGGTCCAGGAAATTGCTAGACTAGACAGAGATTATTGACTGAGAGAGCAACAGGGCCCTAGGCACCTGGGGTATGTGAGCAGGATAGACTGGGGGACCTGTTCGACAACTAGGAATTTAACTAAGAATGCTACCCAAGGGAAAGTAGGCAGCTGTCCAGGGAGATTGTTAATCAATGAGGAACCAGGGGAGGGACTTTCTCAAGCTAGGAGAGAAAATTCTGCCTTGGTTTTCTGGGTTTGACACCTGATTTTGCAAAATTGAATAAAAAAGCCTCACTCTTGCTAAAAGGAGTATAGATTGGATTTCTTGAGCATTTGTAAGTAAGCACTTATGATAACTCATCCATGACCTCATATGGGATAAGGCAGTCCACTCCAGTTCTCCCTCTAGAGAACCATTGAGGTAAGGTCGTAGCCAGGAGTTTATAATGACCTATTTGTTGTTGTTGTTAAGTGCCGTTTAGTCGGTTCTGACCCATAGCGACCCTGTATAGGATTTACGAGGAGCAGCTGGTGAGCTTGAAC